TTGTAATCCCAGCACTTTGGGAGGCCAAGGCAGGCAGATCCCCTGAGGTTGGAGTTCAAGACCAGCCTGATCAAGAAGGAGAAACCCTGTCTCTAGTAAAAATACAAAATTAGCTGGGCGTGGTGGCACAGGCCTGTAATCCCAGCTACCTGGGAGGCTGAGGCAGGAGAATTGCTTGAACTCAAAAAGCAGAGGTCGTGGTGAGCCAAGATAGCCCCACTGCACTCCAACCTGGGCAACAAGAGCGAAACTCCGTCTCAAATAAATAAGTAAATAAATAGGACATGAGGGAGGCCAAGTGTGGTGGCTCACACCTGTAATCCTAGTACCTTGGGAGGCCAAGGCGGGTGGATCACTTTGAGGCCAAGAGTTCAGGACCAGCCTGGCCAACATAGTGAAACCCCGTCTCTACTACAAATAAAAAATTAGCTGGGTGTAGTGGTGGGTGTCTGTAATCCCAGCTACTCAGGAGGCTGAGGCACAAGAACACTCCAGCCTGGGTAAAAGAGTGAGACTCTGTCAAAAAAAAAAAAAAAAAGTTGGGGGGGGGAAGGGAAGGAAGAATCAGATATATTTACACAGATGCAAAATAGCCCAATCCACTGAAAAAGCCCTCTCACTCCTGTAAGCTGTCATTATGAAGCCAGGAGAATGCTAAGAGCTGAGACTTATCAAAGTTACAGGAGTGCCTTGTGTTAAGGAGGGGGCAAAAACTGATATTAGTCCAGGTGCAAGGGTTGTGCAAATGTGAATGCGTGTGTTTGGGGGAAAGGTGATAAGGGGGTGACTCAAGTAATTTAGACAACAAGCAAAGATATGTCCTACAAAGGGTGATCTATTTAGACTAACCTTAATTACTGACCAAGACCCTATTTGACCCGACCCATTTCCTGCTTCATTCACACACCAGTCTTTGAAGTCAGGTCACACACTGCCTTTTCTGTTACCTGAATGCTGCAGTATTATTCCCATCTCACGACCATCTGTACCTGCCTGGCTTCTTATAATTCGCTTCTGTTCAAATGTCGCTTCTTCAGAGATGATTTCTCTTGACTACCCCATCTAAACAAAATAGCAAAACTCTTCCCCTCGAGTTCCTCCAGTCATTCTTTATCTCATTATCCGATGTCTTCATTGCACTTTTCACTGTCTTAAAGTTATCTCATTTATGTGTTTACTTGTTTAAGGCTTGCCTCCCCGACTCCAATGTACACTCTGTAAACCAGGGACCCATCTGACCTTGTTCCTGGCTGTAACCTCAGCGCCAGGCGCACAGAAACTTTATACATATCTGCTGTCGTCTGTAAATATAAAACCTGAAGTCGGGAGATCTCTAGACATTGGGAGGGATCAGAGGCCAGGAGTGTGACTTGCGGACGAATGAGGAAGTGGGAAGGCCGTCCCGAGAAGATCGGGGAACCCTGGGAAGTTAAAGCATAAGTCCCGAGCTCTCGGGAGAACCGAGTGGCGCGAGGCGTGGGGGGCTCACCTGCCGAATGGCCGCCAGCGTGTTCTCGGGCGCGTCGTGGCTGCCGCCGCGGTGGGCGATGGCGGAAATGCGGTCCCGGGGCTTAAGCACCTGCAGGGCCCTGCAGGAGGGCACCGGCTCAAAGCTGAAGACGCGCAGCAGGACGAAGAGGCTGCCGGTGAGGAGGCAGGCATTGACCGGGCTCCGCGTCACCAACAGCAGCACCACCAGCAGGAAGGAGAAGGGGCCCAAGAGGCCCCCCTGGTCTTCCCACAGCCACATGCCGGCGCCCGCACCGGCACGGACGGGAGTCCCGGACCTGCCGGGCTCCCCGGGCAGGAGAGCGAGAAGCGAGGGGGAGGGCCCAAAACACTAGCCGCAGCGGGTGCCCACTGAGGGGACCAGCGCCGCACAATGGCGGCAGAGGACACCTCCTGAGAGGTAGTCGGCTGGCCAGCCAATCAGGGCCCAGGATTTGCAGCGCTAGGGGGCGGAGCCGCAAAGGGGGCGGGCTCAGGCCCCAGGTCCCAGGCCCCAGGCTCACGTTCCAAACCCAAAGTGGTTTACGGTTTTCTTGGCTGTGAACTTCAACCTGCATGTTTAGACTCCTAGGCAAGAAAAGGAGGGATAAGAACCGTCCTAAAGCTGTAGTACTGGAAGGGATTCTAGTGACTCCTTTATCTGCCCTTGAGGAAACTGAAGTCCAGGGAACTTGGAGAGGCAGGATGCTTAGATTATCAATTGAGTTCAGTTCAATTCAAGATGTGCTCCAGACATGAGTTGAACAGGACCTACAGGGTTCTTGCTCTTATGGGACTCACATTCTTGTTAGGGGAAATAGAAGGGTTAGCAAGTACACCTAACGTGTACAGAGCACTTACCATGTCCCAGGTACTTTGCGAGCAAACACTTTATATGCTTATCTCATTCTCACAGCAGCCTCACTAGGTGGTTATTATCTCAGGAGGCTGATTTCAATCGACTTGATTTTCCTGATTCTGGGGGACAGGAAGAGCCTAGCAAAGAAGGCACAGTCGGATTATAAAACTGGAAGGGGTTTTAAGGATTCCCTCATTTTATAGATGAGGAAACTGAAGATAGGTGAATTAAGTAGTTAATGGCCGGGTGGGAGCTGACATAAAGGCCTCCCCAGTGACTTGTGACATTTTCGCTCCTCCTCCTCCTAATCTTATTTCTGCTAAGGGCTTTTGTACCAGGTCCTGTGCAATAGTTATCTCAACTGTGTCTCACAACCACCGTTGATAGGCACTTTTAAAACCCCTATTTTACATATGCAAAAATAGGCACTGGAAGCAGGGTAAGAGAGATGGTAAAGCTGAGTTAGGGAATGAAAGAGGGCTCCTAGTCATGTTTTGGAAAGCTGGTAACATTTTTATATAGAGAATTTTGCATAAAGATTCAGGGATTTTTCTGTTACTTTTTGCCTTTAGTGTATTTTCCCACTGATTTTCAAAAGGGCATAGATGTCCAGTTGGCATCTAGGATTTCGCCGTTTTTTGTTTTGGTTTGTTCTTTTGTTTGTTTGTTTGTTTTTCCTTTTTGAGACAATCTCACTCTATCACCCAGGTTGGAGTGCAGTGGTGCAATTACGGCTCAATGCAATGTCTACCTTCCGGGCTCAAACGATTTTCTCACCTTAGCCTCCCGAGTAGCTGGGACCACAGGCTTGCGCCACCCCACTTGGCTAATTTTTAAAATTTTTGTAGAGATGGCGTTTCTCTTTGTTGCCTAGGCTGATCTCGAACTCCTGGGCTCAAGCGATCCTCCCGCCTCGGCTTCCAAAATGATTGGGATTATAGGCTTAAGCCACCATGCCCGGTGGGCTCAGCAAGTTTTTAGCTACAATATTTTGGTGAATGTTACATGTTTTCTAACAGCTGCATAGAAAGGGGTTTTCTTTATACAGATAAGAAAAAAATGTCAACTTCAAGGAACACTTCAGGGGGCTTCAGACTCTGAGGAGTGGTCCTATTATAATAAATAAGTAAATTTATTAATAGATTCTAGAGGCTCTAGCTTGCAATGAAGACTACGTTTCCCAGCGTGCAGCATGCTGGCCGTAAGCATTACGTCCACTATCGCGCGCGCAATGCACCTCGGGGATTGTAGTTTTCTGGTGGCCCAACCGTTTCAACTGCCCGGTAATCAACCACCGGAAGTGCCGGCCCTGAGAGGCGGAGTCCTGGTGGCAGCGGCGACGGTTGCCAGGAGCCCGCGTTACCGCCTGAGGTCCGTAATATGGCGGGGAGGAGGAGGAGAAGGCGGCGGCGGACCGTGCTGCGCTCTGTCAGTGCCGTTTGAGCCATTCGCTTCCTGACAAGGCCCGTGACGAGGAGAGAGGAGCTGAAGGGGCTTTAGGGGATCAGGTGTGTGCATGAGGAGGGGGCTCGAGCCTCGGCGGGTCCGGGCTGACAGCTGGCCTGGCGAGGCGAAATTGGCGCCCTGAGGAGCTGAGGGCGGGCTCTGTGTTGGGCTCCCGGGCCTTGAGCCCCCTGAAAAGGCGCTGGCTGTAGGGAGGTGGGAGCCCAGGGGCCGACAGCACTGGATACGGAGGTGATGCTCTCATGCCGGCCCCGCCTGGAGAGCCCTAGGTTTGGAGCCTTTCGGAGGAGCATGGGGCGCTAGGGAGAAGGCAGGGGATAGTCCCTGGTGAATAAAACTCGGGCCACAGCCGGAGAACCCCATCGTGGTGGTCAAATTGTTTGGGGTGTGTTTCTTCTCTTTCCCAGAAAGAAGAGAAGAAAAACGCCCCAATTTGATCACCACGATGGGTGCTGGAGAGGGAGGCGTCCCCGGGGTATGCATTGGCTATTTATGAGCCCCAGTTACCACAACCGAGGTCCTAGGAGCGCTGCTTACTACGCCTTAGCCACTCTGGAGCATAAGCTTGAAGATATTAAAGTAATTGATTGCCCCTGAAGCTGCTGGATGGTTCCCATCCTTTGATTCTACTCTGGTTATGATCCAAGCTCCCTACCCCCAGCTTGGGCAAATGGCAGCCATCTCGAGACTGATTTGACGGGGAGAGGTCTAGAGACAGGAAAATGAGGAAGCCGCTGTCCCCTTTCCTATATTTTTAAGTTTCAATTGAATCCTACGGGGAACCAAGCACTGTCGCTGCCCTCCAGGAATTTACAGTCTATTGCTAAAAATTATCATCATTATCCTCTTAATAAGAAAAGCCCCATTATTTGATGCTTTCTGCGTGTTCTGCACTATGCTAATTGCCCTACATTCATTAGCTCATTTAATTCTGACAAGATCCCTTTGAGATGGATACCGTGATCATCCCTGTTTTACAGTGGAGGAAACAGGTGTGGGGTTGGTAACTAGCTTGCCAAGAACTTGCAGCTAGTATTCATCTGACTAAGAAATCTTTCCCTTTACCACTTTTACAAGAAGTTTGCGCCTTTGGGGGAACTAATGAGCAAAAAAAACCACTAGGTTCTGCAAAAAAGGCAGGATCTGTTCTGTGTTACTTTTACCACTCCCGTTGGTAACTTGTATGGCAGAGCTCAGGTCAGGAGCAGATAGGACCATGAGTCTATGGGGTTTGCAAAGAGGCTTATTTGGACAGTGGTTCTCTATGGTATAAATGGAGAAGACAGGGCATGTCTGAACCTGCTGCAGCTGACAAATTATTACTGGAAGTGGACCAGTAATGCGTGATGGTAAGGTATGGGGCAGTAGATTTGTGGCTGGGGTAGCCTTGTAGTTTAAGGCTCCCTTAAAATAAAACCTTGCTGACAGTGGTAATTGTAGTGTGAAAGGCATAGTGTCCTCTTGCTTAATCATGGGATATGGACTGCTCACTTCTTAAATGGTTACCTTTGCAGTTTAAGAGGTATCAGTTTTTCGGAATAGGGCCATAGTGAAATTTCCATTCTCTAAATTCGATTCTTCCTTTCTAGCTTTAGTGTATAGTCCACCTTCTTTTTTTTCTTCTGGTTTACATTATTGTTTAAGCTTATTACCCTAATTCCTTTATTCAATACTTTTATTAAATGCCTGCTGTGTGCTGATACTATTCTGTGTAATGGGGATTCAGTGATCAAGTCTGAAAAGGTACATGTACTTACAGCACTTATATTTTGGTGGAGGAAGACAGACAAAAACCAAGGAAATAAACAGGATAATTTCAGATAGTGGTAAGTGCTATGAAAATTGGGAAACAACAGGGTAATGTGATAGTGATCAAGGCAGAGCTAATTTAGCTGGGGTCATCAGGGACACCTTCTCTGAGTAGGGGACATCCAGGCTGAGACTAAAGGATAAGAAGGATCTAGACATGCTCTGAGGATCATCTGGTAATTTGAATAATCTCCATATTAGCACTCATATTTGAGTGCGTAATGCATTATCATATGCTGTGTCGTGCTGTAATAATAATATAGTACTGTACATCTTCAAGATGTAGGACGTACATGTACTATTTAGGGGATGTGAATAACTCTGAAACAATGAGACATATCTCTATGATGTTGAAAGAAAAAACTATGGCCATAAAAATATTGTATTTTCTTAAATTTCCCTCACTTTTAAAATTGAATTTCATGCTTTGCTTGAGTAGCTATAGACCATATATTACTTTATTTGTATGAGTAATCTATGTACATTCTCTGTACTGCTGAATGCATGGCATGTATTAAAAAAAGTAAAGCATTTGAGCATAAATGGAGTTGTTAAGATATAATGTGAGTAGAAACATAGACTAAAAAAATGGCTATGCCTTAAGGTATTTTATTGTTTTTACCTTTGCTTTTTTTAAATAAATAAAAGCTTGTAAAATAATCTCACTCACACTGTAGAAAACCATTTCTTTGACATTTAATTTCTAGTTTGCATAAATTGAACACAGAAATAATTACAATTGATGGAATGGTAGGAAGAAGTTTTGTTATTGATTAAACTATTTGGTCAAAAGTTCAATATAATTTTTTCATAATCTGATTGTAATTTTGAATATGGCTTTTTTTTCTCCATTTCTCATTGCATTGTAATTTGTCACTGACACTTTGGTGTACTGAATTTTTAAGTACTTTGAGGCCTACGGAGGACATATCCTATTTCATCTTTGCATATCCCACATCATGAATTGAATTTCCCTGCCCTCTCTTTTTTTGTTAAGAAATTAATTGTTTTAAAATGAACACATAAAGGAACATTGTATTAGATTTTCTGTTTCCATAGTTCATACCCTTGCTGGTTATGATTCTGATGTCTTTTTATTTTCCCTTACTTATTTAAAGGAAACAGTGCTACACATAATGCTGTGCAAATAAGCAATCAATACATTTTTTTTCTTATTTAAAAATTTTTTTTTTCTTTTTTTAAGAGACAGGGTTTCACCGTGTTTGGCCAGGATGGTCTTGATCTCTTGACCTCGTGATCCGCCTGCCTCGGCCTCCCAAAGTGCTGGGATTACAGGCGTAAGCCACTGCGACCGGCCCAAGCAATCAATATTTAATGTTTGCTAAATGAATGAATATGATGCCTAATCCTTCCTGGTTACCTTGTATTTTCATAATCACAATGATAATTTCCCAGAAATTGTGAAATTACTGGGATTGTCTTAAGTAGTTTGGTGATGGTTCCAGTTTTCAACAATAAAGTATTATTAACATCAGAGCCAATCAAGTTTTACCTCTGACTGAGTTAGCTGGTGTGCCCATGGAGTCCAAGTATAGTGTTAAGATATGCAAATTGAGGCAGGAGGATTGCTTGAGTCTGGGAGTTTGAGACTGTAGTGGGCTGTGATCGCACCTGTGAATAGTCAGTGGAATCCAGTTTGGGCAACATAGTGAGACCCGTTTTTTTTTTTTTTTTTTTTTAAGACATGAAAGTAATAGCCTTTGAACCTCAAAATAGAAAATTTTTTAAAGTAATCTTTTCTTTAGGCTTTTTTTTTTACTGCAGTGTTTCTACCTTTGTATGATAGAGTTTTTCTTGTGTAGATAAGTCCTGTTAAAGAAAATATAATATCATATTTTACAATCTGAAATTAGTGAAGGTACATAGAAGTTTGTTTCCTTTAAGAAGGCTTTACTGTTGCCGGGCGCGGTGG